TGGAATCGACTGCCTCAGGGGTGGAAACACAGTCCCAGCATTTGCCAGGGACTGATCCAGACTGCACTGGAAAAGGGCGAGGCTCCAGAACATCTACAGTACATTGATGACATCATTGTATGGGGGAACACAGCGGGGGAAGTCTTCGAGAAAGGAGAGAAGATAATCCAGATCCTCCTAAGAGCTGGTTTTGCCATTAAACGAAGTAAAGTCAAGGGACCTGCTCAGGAAATTCAGTTCCTAGGAGTGAAGTGGCAAGATGGACGCCGCCTAATTCCAACGGAGGTGATTAACAAAATAACAGCCATGTCCCCACCAACCAGCAAGAAGGAAACACAGGCTTTCCTAGGCGCTGTGGGCTTTTGGAGGATGCATATCCCCGAGTACAGTCAAATTGTAAGCCCTCTCTACCTTGTGACACGGAAGAAAAATGATTTCCAGTGGGGCCCTGAACAACAACAGGCGTTTGAACAGATTAAACAGGAGATTGCCCATGCGGTAGCCCTTGGGCCAGTAAGGACAGGACAGGACATGAAGAACGTGCTCTACACTGCAGCCGGGAAGAATGGCCCTTCCTGGAGCCTCTGGCAGAAAGTGCCTGGGGAGACCCGAGGACAACCGCTGGGATTCTGGAGTCGGGGATACAAAGGATCTGAAGCCAGCTATACACCAACTGAGAAAGAGATCCTGGCTGCTTATGAAGGACTTTGAGCTGCCTCAGAAGTGATCGGCACCGAAGCGCAGCTCCTCCTGGCACCCCGACTACCAGTGCTGGGCTGGATGTTCAAGGGGAGAGTTCCTGCTACACATCACGCAACCGATGCCACACGGAGTAAGTGGATTGCTCTGATCACACAACGAACCCAGATAGGGAATCCTAATCGCCCCGGGATTCTGGAAATTATCACCAATTGGCCCGAAGGTGAGAGTTTCGGACTATCCTCTGAAGAAGAGGAGCAGGTGACATGGGCTGAGGAGGCCCCACCATATGACAAGCTACCAGCAGATGAAAGGCGATATGCGCTCTTCACGGATGGCTCCTGCCGCATTGTAGGGACAAACCGAAAATGGAAGGCAGCTGTGTGGAGTCCCACACGGCGAGTTGCAGAAGCGACCGAAGGACAAGGTGGGTCAAGTCAGTTTGCAGAGCTTAGAGCCATTCAGTTGGCTTTGGATATAGCTGAACGAGAGAAGTGGCCAAGACTCTATCTCTACACTGACTCATGGATGGTGGCCAATGCTCTGTGGGGATGGCTAGAGCGATGGAGAAAAGTCAACTGACAGCACCAAGGGAAACTCATCTGGGCGGCGGAGATGTGGCAGGACATCGCTGGCCGGGTAGAGAAGCTGAGTGTGAAGGTCGGTCACCTAGATGCTCATGTACGCAAGAAACGGGCTAATGAGGAGCATCGTAACAACGAGCAGGCCGACCGAGCTGCCAGGATTAAAGTCTCTCAGGTAGATCTGGATTGGCAGCACAAAGGAGAATTATTTCTGGCTCGATGGGCCCATGACACCTCCGGTCACCAGGGGAGAGATGCAACATACAGATGGGCTCGTGACCGAGGGGTGGACTTAACCAAGGACATTGTCTCACAGGTCATCCATGACTGTGAGACATGTGCTGCCATCAAGCAGGCCAAGCGGGTGAAGCCTCTATGGTATGGTGGACGGTGGTCAAAGTACAGGTATGGGGAAGCCTGGCAAGTTGACTACATCACGCTCCCCAAAACCCGCCAAGGCAAGTGCCACGTACTGACCATAGTAGAAGGAAGTACTGGATGGCTGGAGACATACCCCGTGCCTCATGCCACTGCCCGGAATACCATCCTGGGCCTTGAAAAACAAATCCTGTGACAACACAGCACCCCGGAGAGAATTGAGTCTGATAATGGGACCCATTTCAAGAATGGCCTCGTAGACACCTGGGCCAGAGAGCACGGCATTGAGTGGGTGTATCATATCCCCTACCATGCACCAGCCACCGGAAAAGTTGAGTGGTGCAACGGGCTGCTGAAAACCACCCTGAAGGCACTGTGTGGGGAGGCTCTCAAACACTGGGAGCTGCATTTAGCAAAGGCCACCTGGTTGGTCAACACGCGAGGCTCCATCAGTCGAGCTGGCCCTGCCCAATCAGAACCTTTGCATACTGTAGATGGAGATAAAGTCCCCGTGGTGCATATGAGAGGTATGTTAGGGAAGACTGTTTGGATTAGTCCCACCTCAAGCAAAGGCAAACCCATCCGAGGGATTGTTTTTGCTCAAGGACCTGGTTTCACCTGTTGGGTAATGCAAAAAGATGGGGAGACACGTTGTGTACCACAAGGGGACCTAATTTTGAGTGAGAATGGTCTGTAATGTTCCATTGTATATATATATATGTGTGTGTATAGTTTTGGGGAGACATAGTTTTTAGGGGGGTTAATTTGGGTATGACATGGATGGCATAGAATAAGGGGTGGATAATGTCCTGGTTAGAACGGCTGGGACCAATTCATCCCTGGATGGGTGTAACCCAAAACTGTGTATTCTATAGCCTCCATGCCATTTCCCAAAAACTGCTGTCAGTAGAGGCCTGCAAGGTGGGAAGATGTTCCTGTCCTCATACCCTTTTATGGAATTCCCCGCTCTGATACCCTTTTATGGAATTCCTCCCTCTGAGGGAGGGACTGAGCATCCGCATGCCCTTTTATGGAATTCCCCGCTCTGAGGGAGGGACTGAGCACTCCCGTCTGAACTGGAGAATATATAAACTGGGAGTTTCGGAACCTTTGCACCACTCGTGGGACCCAGAGGAAGACTGCAGACCACCGCTCTCAACCAGACTGAGACCACCACCCTCGACTGGACTGCAATCACCACTCTGACCAGACTGCAACAACTCTCCCACCAGCAGGTTTTTTTTCCCCTCTCCCTTTACTTTGGACTCGGGGGGGGGCAAGGAACACCACTTTTGTTCATACTCCAGGGTGCTGGGTTATACATTTGGGTTTTGCGGGTTAAAACCACTTGTCTGTCTGTATAATTGTACTTATTGTATTATTTTAATAAATTGTTATTCTGACTTATAATCTCTCTTTTGAGTTGAGTTCATTTCTCCTGCTGGTTAACTTTTAAACCAGCACAGTACCAGATAAAGGTTTTAACAAACTTTTATTTTGACATTCCCCATTTAATAAGTTCTACTCTTTACAAAGCAGTTTATGTGATTGCATTAATGAGAGGAAAGAAAGAAATGCTAGGAAAAATGTGATATGGAGAATCTGTGCTCATAAACTTCTTGTAAGCTCCAGCAAACAGGAAGGCTTTGCCCATCTTCTTTTTTCCTTTTTTTTTTTTTAATTCCCTGCCATTCGGCTTGCAAAAACACCCCCAAAAACCAATCAAACAAAAAACCCACATTGAATATCTCAGAAAACCGGCTCTGGTGGTTTGAGACTAAACACAAATTCCTTCCACTGCCACTACCACCAAGCCTCTTCAACCTGTGTTTGCCAAACACGATCCCTCACTCTTTATGTTTAAGAGCCACTTGACCTCAAATATAGGTTTTAACTCCTGGGGATTCCAAGGAATATAGATTCTATGGGCAGATGGCTTTGGTAGGCAGGGTTGGAGACTGTTTAGCCACTGACCATTGAAATGTATTTGTGAATGGTTGCTTCCTTCATCTGACCATCTTTAGCAAGCAGTGCAGATGATGAAAATAAAATAAATAGCTATGAAATGGGTTTAAAATAAATTCTGCTATTTATCCAAACGGAGGTGAGGGTTAGGGGTAAGGTATGAGGCTGAGCAGGGAGTTTATAATGGCTACAAAACCAGTACAGATGCAGACCACTGTGGTCACTGCAGTGCTCACGGTTGTTTCCCTGTTTCGGGGGACGATGCTAGGGAGAAGTCCCATGTGAGCCTCCAACGCTGCTTCCAGCAGCCTTGTAAGGACCTGAGCATTAAAGCATCCCATGTGCTCTCAGATTCAAGAGGCAGCAGGCAGGCAGGGAGCTGCTGCCCTGCTTAGGACTGACCCGGCACTGTTCTGGGTAAAAGCAGATGATGCCAGGCCAATCTCCTTCTTAGTTGCATCCTTGATGATGGCATTCTGGTTCTGCCTTCTCTGCTTGGGACAGCCATGATGCAACCTGTGTGGAAAACCAAAATGTCTGAGGCTGTCAAAGTGTTTTTTTCCATTCAACTGCTGGGTTTTTTTGGGACTTATCATCTCAGCTACTGGTTACGGTCAGCACATGGGGGCTTGCTTGCCCCTTCTGAGCCACTGTAGTCTTTTGAGCAAGACATTTGTAGGCAGTTCCTCCAAATGATGCTGTAGGCCAGGTGTATCAAGAGGTCCTTAGGTCTTCAGAAAAAATGTCTCCTGATATTTCTTGCCTGCCTGACTTCCCGTTGCTCAGCTGCAATTAACCAGATCTTTCCTGGTTCAGTGTGGAAAGCAACACAGAAAACACAGAAACCTGGGAGAGATTTTCCTGGGAACCTAAGTAATGTTATCTAACTGTTCATGAAAACTTTCAGCTAAAACATCCCTGTTGCTGAAAGATATTTAGAGGTGTGAGGTTGTATTAGATGTCAAGAAATTGGATCCCCTTTTGTGGTAGGGAGACCCACAGAGCCCACCTGCCAAGGGCCAGGCTGTTTGGTGGGACAGATGTGTTGACCAAACAGGACCATGAAGAAAAGGGTGAACTAATGACTTTCTTTCCAGGCGACAACAGAGACTTCCTGGTGGGAACAAGTCTCAGCAGCATGCAGATCATCAGCAAGGTGGCACCAAACACAATAGGGACCACCAGAAACTCTACCAAGGAGGCCAGGCCCCTCACTCCTCAGGCAGGACAGACCACCACGGCTACAGTCAGAACCGGAGATGGCACCACAACCAGAAGCACTCACCCAGTGACAAAGAAGCACAGAGAAACGCCAAAGAGACTGAGAATTTCAAAATCGAGGACATCTCCATCTGTTCGGTGCACATTCCCTCGGAGATGCACCAAGGCCCAGAGACTGTGAAGAAGCAGTCTCAGCAGTACATTCAAGAGTCAGAGATCAAGCAGAAAGTCAGTATTCATGAGTGCATTGGGGAAAGACCTAAGATCAATTTACTTCAGTCTTCCAAAGACAGACTGAAAGAAAAGGTATTATTTCTTAGGAAAACGTTGAGTTTCCTTTTTTCCAAGAGTCTGGCTGTTGGCCATTCTCCATGCAAAGTGTGGGGTGGGCTCAAGGGACCTTTCCATCAATGCACCCAACTTATCTTAATCTCCCAGTGTCAACACTTCTCTTGACGTGTCTTCATGCTTCTTCAGGAGGCCTTTTATTGACATAATTAAGGCTCTTAGCTTGACTTCTTGGTTGCTACCAGCTTGAGTTCTTCAAGGACTGGGAACTCTCCCCCTGCATACCCTTGAGGAAAGCTGGTTCATACGTGGGTTACAATGTGGGCGCTCCTTCCAACTAACTCCCTCCCAGTCTGCAGAGCTCATTGACTTTGCAAAGAGGTCTAAAAAAGGCAATTAGTCTCTCCACAATTACAGAGCTAAATCCGAAGCTTTGACTTTTGAGTGTTGAATACTTGGAGTCAGATACTTGAAAGTTAATATCCATTTATCTCAGCAATGAATTGAAATGATCTTATCTTTCCCACTTCCTTCCAATAACCTAACAATATCAAAACTATTGTATGCAAGTGGCAGAAGAGAAATACTTTTTTGAAACAATATTCAGCCTCAGATTTCTGAGGAGTTTGGAGATGATATCTCCATTTACCCCCCGTGAAACTCAGATTCTCTCTCTTGACTAGAAAATGCATCCATGGGGGTATCTCCGATGAGATTTCCAATATAAGTAGGAAAAATAGCCTGAACATATACAATTACATGGGAGTACATGTTGGAAATTGTATCGGGACGAAGTTGGGATGTTATTATTTTTTGGTCTGTGTTTGGCCCTAGCCACCTGCAGAAGTTTACATTTTTCTCCTGCCAAGTGCTCTGATAAAGCAGTGAACTTGGCCTTGGAGGGAGAACTTCTGTGTAAACTGTTTTAATTGGTCTGTTGTGATTGGTCAATTGCTCGTCAAGGGCAGTTGGAGGACGAAGTGATGAGGAGGGTGAGGAAGGCTCGCCCCCAGACTCAATTTAGAAGGACCCCCAAGACACACTGTGCATGCGTGAGGGGATTTCCAAAATTCTCACGCATGCGCAGAAGAGGTGCACTTACATAACCAAGAGGGCGGGATTGAGTACCCCTGATGGGGTGGTACTGGCCACACCTCCCCGGGCAGGTGTGTTTAACGAATTGTATAAAAGCAGACACGTTTTCCATGCTTGGGCCGGTTCTACACGAAGGACCAAGTTGCTTCTATCGGGGATGCCGTTGAAGTGGGAGCCTGCCAATCCTTTGGAAGACGCAGCTGCTGCCGAGGGTCTTATAAGCAATTACAATGGGTAAAACTATCTTATAAGTGACACCTGGGTGAGTAGGGTGTTGTGCCTTCCTCTTTAGGTTCTTTTTTGCTCACTTTTCCCCCTTCCTAATCCCTTTCACTTGAGTGCCTGTTTTTTTCACTATTTGCCACTTTTTGTAATGAATAGTTACTTTGATACATAGCACCAGTGTCGAGTTTTTCCACGTCCTCGTATATCCTCGAACCTCCTCCCTAATACAGAAATGTATACCTTTGAATGCATGTGCATTTGCTATTTATGTGTGTGGGGAAGAAGAGATTTTGTTAGTTGTTTTTATGTTCTTTAAAGCAATGGGAGTATAGTAGAGACTTTCAGAGTATTCATTTTAATGCTCTTCCTGTGAATTTAGAGTGTTATAAGAAACACATCACATAAGCACCCACTCTTGGGTAGATGTTTGTCGACACAACTGACCTCCTGATGGGAGTTTTGGACAACTCCAACTGCTATTTGGCATTGGGGTTGTCTGAAAAATTGTTACAATTTTGTATTATATAGCATGTTTTAAGATTGAACTAGAGGACGAGAAGGGAGCAGGATGCATGCCTTACACTGGGGGAAAAGGGCAAATGCATAATTAAATGTTGAAAAGAAACAATAAATTCTATGGTAATGATGTGAAGGGAAAAGTGTAACAGCCAAGAGATGGGAGAGTTAAGAGTTTTTCAAATGCTGGGATCATGTGACTCTTTAATCTCAATTTAAATCATTAAATATATATTAAAAAGTAGACATTTTTGTAGGATTGTTATCTGAGCATTTTGCAAACATCAGTGCACTTTCAAAATTGAGGCAAAAAAAGGTCCATTATCACCATGTCACAGACACCCCCAGAAACTGGTCCAAGATGTCAAAGGCAGTCAGGGGTGGTTGGACTTTGGCATCCTAGCTCAGGACCCTTGAGGAAATCTTCTCCCTGAGGGGGAAGACTTTGGGATTGAGTGCTGTGGGAAATGGAGAAAGAGAGAATTTCTGAGACAGGATTCATTCACTTTGGTTTTCAATGCTGAGATTATACCATTGTGTTGCTAAAAGATGCTTTGGTTTTTCTATGTCTGTTTATATGTTTCTCCAATCCCCTTCTCCCTTTGCTGTTTGTGGAAGGACAAGGGCTGATATGTCTGTTCTTTCCTTGTGTAACATGCCTTGTCTTTCCCTTTTCATGGATCAGGACAAAGTCATCGTGGAAACCACCAATCCTGAAAATAATAAAATGGACAAATTAATTGAAATTCTCAACAGCATGAGGAACGACAGCGGTGACGTTGACTCCAAGCTCACCACATTCATGGAGGAGGCCTAGAACTCCACCAACTCTGAGGAGATGCTGGGGGAGATAGTCAAGACCATATACCAGAAAGCAGTGATGGACTGCAGCTTTGCTTCCATGGCAGCCAAGCTCTGTGACAAAATGGCCCACTTCATGGTGGAAGGAACCAAATTCCGGAGTCTGCTCCTCAACATGTTGCAGGTAATGAGATAAAATTAGTTGATTAGATACCTGCAGCTTCACCCTGCATTTGTCTTACCATGCAGTCTTACCATGCATTTGGACAGGAGCTGAGCTGCTATCAAATTTCTTTTGAACCCAGTTGATGAGAGGAGAACAGAAGTGTACCCACAATTTTATCTGTGCACATCTTCAATGGTTACCATAGATAACGTGGCACTTAGGGCATTGTCAAGTTGCTCTTCATTCCCATTTCCTGAGCTGTACATGTAATTATGGTATCTCACACCGGGGCCTATCCATGAAATGAGTGTGTTGCTTGTGGCAGCATCCCCATGGCATGAAGAGAAGTGAACTTGGAGGGTCTTACACTGGAGGGTCCATCTCAGTACCAGAGACACCAAGTTGTCATGTTCCCTGAGTAGGCTGCTGGTTGCATTGCCTGGCTGAAGGGCTTGGTCATGGTTTCTGATTGCAACGCAGACTGAAATAATTTGTGCATTTGCTAATTATTCTGGGTGACTTGTTTATTGGCATATGCAGCACTGGTTGATTGTTTGCTCCAAAACTATCAGTGACAATAAAGCTGTGGGGTAGAAAAAAGCAGTGGCTCTGATAACTGGTCCATGAGCTTAATGGTTGGACTTGATGATCTTGGAGGTCTTTTCCAGCCTAGGTGATTCTATGATAATGGTGGATGATGGGGAAACAGTACTGTCCTCAACTGCCCATGATCTACTGGGGGGAGCATGTTTTACTGTAGTGCCATCTGTTACGACCCACCCCAGAAAAGGGGGGGGTAACCCAGGTTCTTATTAACAATTCCCTTGGGGTGGATTAGAGTGAAACGACACTGAATAATCGGTGTTTGAAAACATATATATGTAGGGTTTATTTTAGAACAATTTTGTTTCAAAGGTAAACAGGTATGTTAGCATTTTGGGTGTTATCATCTATATCATCTGTAGCAATATGGCATAAAGATAACCTTTGGGGGAAAATGCAAAAGGGAGAGAGACGGGATAAGGGTAAAGGGGAGTAAGGAAAAAGAAAAGATGAGAGTGGAAAAATGTATATAGTCACCGCCCACTGGATCCAGCGATGGAACTTGGTAATCCTAAAAGTGATGGTCTCGATTCGCTGGCGGTGGGGGAGAAGAAAAACCCAAACCCCCAAAGAAGTTACCAGTTCATATATACTTCCAGAACACTTTTTGCACCTCCCCTGGGGCAGGGAGTTTTCCACGGAATAGTGTCATGGGCCATGCCACGAACCCCCAACATTTTTCCCGCCTTTCATGATTGGCATGCCACGAACCCCCAACATTTTTCCCACCTTTCAAGATTGGCAGAGGAGGGGATGGGCATGCCACAAACCCCCAACGTCTCGGACAGCCCAGTGCAGAGTCCATGTGGAGGGCATGGTAAACTCGGCTCTTCTCACCTTTTCAGGGCTTGACACCTTCAGCAGCACTGGAGGGAGAGATGGACCCAGCTGCCCATCAGAGGTATAATGCAAAAGTCCTGCAAAAGCCTGCAAAAGTCTCCTGGCAATCCTAGAATGCATAAATCATTAACCATTTCAGTCTCTGACACCATCATCAAAGGGGAGCTTTCTGAGGAGGGTGTCACATGGACCTCTTTCTGCCTCTCTGGAGACAGGATATGTAGAGTTGAAACCATGAATTTCTATCCTTAATTTAATATGTGTCTCCAATTTGGCCATTCCCTCACACACACATGCCATCTGTGGGGCATATAAAGTTCTCATTTAATTTCTCCGTGATATCCCTTGGATGCTGTGCCCTGTTGCCTGTACCTTGAGTTGGCTTTTGGGCAACACAGCAAACAGGGAAATAAGAAGCAAAATAAAATAATGAAAATCAATATTTAGCATAACCTAAGATAATTTTGCAAAGTCATTGGTCCCGTTTTGCTTCTCTCATCACTCTGGGTGCGTATCAAACTCAACATCTCTCCCTGTGCCTGCTCCTTCTCCACTCTCCCCTGCAAAGGCCTTGGGCAGCACACACATCTGCCCATCGCCTGTACCAGGAGGTGATTTTTTTCCCAATTGATTTATTTCCAAAGCAATTGTAAAGCAGGATGAGACAAATAGAGGTCAGCATCAGTCTCAGATTTAATAGCAAGGGGCTGGAGGGAGCTCTAAACCCTCCATGCATCCCACTCTTCCCATGCCAGGTCACTCTTGTGTCTTCTCCCATTTGGCTGAGCAATGCTAAGAAGTCCAAAATAAAGTCCAGAAGCGATGGCCAGGAAGCAGCAGGGTGTTATCCAAAAATTGAGGACAATGGGTTAGGGAGGACTTTTCCAACTTACTTTCTTCTCTTGCCCCAGCATTTCCACCCCCAACCACCAGACCCAGTGGACTGATTTATACTGCAGCATCATGTGCAATAATAAATGGCTTCATATTCAGGTCTTCATAGCATGAGTGTAGGATAAATAATACATCTCGTATCTCCAGACAGTCTCAAAGTGCTTCTCGGGAACATGTAGCCAGTCACGGTGTGATAAGAGCATGATGTCCTGTCCTGGTTCCAACCAAGACAGGATTAATTTTTGCAGTAGGCAGGAGGGGCATGGCTAGGACCCTAAGGTTATTCTATACCACCTCATGACACACGCAGGGAGCGAAGGGGGATAGATCCCTTCTGGTCAGACTGGTGGCGAAGTGAGCAGTCGGGTTAGTGCTGGGTTGGACGTGGTGAGCGCTTGTGTGAACTGTTCGCTTATCTTTGTAGACAGGGCAAAATTGAGTGAGCAATTTGCCCTGCATTTTGAGGGCCTTGCCTTGGCATAATTGGGTGTGAACAGTAAAAAAGCTGCGTAACTAATATGGCTGTGGGCTCTGAAGTTAGAACGAAGAAGGCTTTTTGCCAAGGTCAAGGAGGAGTTTTTGGCAGGTGAACAAGTTTTCTCATCTCTTATGGACACCTGCTATGGTCCAATTAACACCGGACAACAAAGTATGTTTTCCTTATGTATCCAATGCTGTGTGAAGAAGAATCACACGTCTGGGTGTATTAACAGTATATAAAGTGTGTCTTTCCTCTAATAAAGCGGACATTTTGCTGATCAAATTGGTCTGTGAGCAGTCTGTCTGAGCCTCTCCGCTGATATATCTTGTACGCTCTGTTATTAATATTGGTGTTGTTACTGTTTGTTGTCTTATTTCATTGCTGTTTCCAGTAAATTGTTCTTATCTCAACCTGTGATCTTTACCTTTTGTGCCTTCAATTCTCCTCTCCATCCTGATGCAGGGGGAGGGAGAGGAGGAGGGGGGAGTGAGTGAGCAGTGCTGGTTTGAAGTGTTTCAGTGGGAACACTAAATTGGGGAGTACCATTCCTAAACCACGACAGCCTTATTTGGCATCCAATATGGGGCTTGAAGGGTTGAGATAACACCAGATCTGCCCAGAGTGGGTTGGAAACAAATTTGACCTAAGCATTTGTTGTATTAGGTACAGAACCACTGGTCACAATGTTGCTTGGTCTGTTCACATGGTCGTGGTACCTAACCCTGTATATATTCCCATATATGCAATATGTGCCCATCACAATGCTCTTTTTCAGAGCAGGGAGATGAATCAGGATTGCTTTGTTGCTGTCCTGTGTGATAGCAACTTACGACATGATAACATCAAGGGCAATGAGGGTCATTGGATGTGTCTTCACTGTTGCTTTCCTGCCCTTGCCTCTGGTACTACCTCTGGGAATTCATTAATAATCATACCCAGTCTGTAGGGAGAACAGAGGAGGGTGATTTTCCCCAGGTTTTCACCCCCTTTTCCTCCTTCAGGCCTGTTACAACAGCTTTTGAGAATTTTGAATTCCCTTTGGATGTTAAGGAAAGCATGTTCTAGTTGCTAAGTCTGCCAGGTCTCCTCAGTATGATCTACACCATGTTTAGAGTCTAAAAAACGATTTCTAGGGAGGTCATTCAGAGATCTGCCCTGAGGGTGGGCAGTCATGAGTGGCATGGAATGCGGGAGGACATGAGCCAGTTTTTAGAGGACTTTTCTGCTCAGATGGCTTGGAAGTTCACCCCTGAACAACTACAGGATCCCATTAAAGTGGTAGAATATTTGAAAGGAAAATGCTGTGGCAGTTCCAGAAAGGTGCAAAGTTATTGCAATGTGTTGGTAGTAGTCACTCCTATAGAGAAGAAATCCAAGACAAAATTACTTCACTTAGTGAGGGATGAAGAGGAAAGATTTCAACCGCAATACAGATGAGTACACAGTGCTGTGGCTGCTCTGATGCTGGGATATCGTGGCCCACGATTGGAAATTTGAGGGTAGTTAAGCCAAGCAGCTTCAATCCCTGTCGCAGGATGTGGGCATTGACAAGGGAATTGGGAAGAGGACAGAAACTCTCAACCTCTGGAGGCGGAGACCCACAAGAGTATAAGGCTTTAGTTGACACAGAGACACAATGATGTCATCAAGATATGTGGGGGCAGAATCCATCTCTATTTCTGGGTGACAGGGGGATCCCAACAGCTGACTGTACCGGAAGCTGAAGTGAGCCTGACTGGGAACAAATGGCAAAACCACCCCATTGTGTCTGGCCCAGAGGCCCCATGAATCCTTGGCATAGATTACCTCAGAAGACAGTATTTCAAGGACCCAAAAGGGCATCATTGGGCTTTTGGAATAGCTGCTGTGGAGACAGAGGAAATTAGACAGCTGAATACCTTGCCTGGTCTCTCAGAGGACCCTTTTGCTGTGGGTCTGCTGTGCACCATTGGCAGTACCACACTAACTGAGACTCTGTGATCCCCATTCATAAGAGATGGATGAACTGGAGAGCCAGGGAGTGGTCAACAAGACTTGCTCACTCTTTAATAGTCCCATATGGCCAGTGTGTATGTCCAGCGGAGAGTGGAGATTGACAGTAGGCTATCGTGGCCTGAACCAAGTCACACCATCACTGAGTGCTGCTGTGCCGGACATACTGGAACTTCATTACAAACTGGACTCCAAGGCAGCAAAGTGG